AACGCTCATTTAGGTGGAACTCCAGAGGGGAAGAATGCACGATTAGAGGGACAGATACAGTAGAGAGACGGCAGAGAAAAAAAGTGAGAGGAGAAGATGGATGGATTAGGAAGGAGGGATGTTTGGATAGAAGAGACACCGTTGAGGAGAGGGGAGAGACGAGAAAGAGAGAGAGAGAGCGAGGGAGAGACTCACAGAGGATTATGTAACTAGTGATTTACAGTTTGCATTGGAAACAGCTCTGAAAATAGACAGGGAGGAGAGCAGAAGTAGAGGAACACTCAGAGCGATTCCTCCGCCACATGAATGTTTGATCACATGGAGGGGAGAGATATGAAGAGGCAGCACGAGGCAGAGAGACAAATATAAAGAAGTTAGATGAAGAAAAGTAGAGGGGGGGGGCTCTGGCTGACACAATCAATACGTCAGACGGCGGCTGCATGTGATTCTCAAATGTGTTATTTATTGGGGGAGGGGGTTAAGACTGCGTAGCCAGACGAAATGGAGCAGGAAGTTGAAATAAATGAAATGAATAATTCTGTACTTCCTCCAGACTCAGTCGGAACGAGAATTATTTCAAACTTTACGTCATTATGACATTCCACTGCTGCACTATCGCCTATCGAGCTTCAATTCCTTCTTTCTCTTTTTACATTAAAAGACTGCATTGGGTTACATAATTTTTTTTGGCCGTGGCCACGGTGAGGAAGGGTGCGCAGTGTCACACCACGATGAAGCATGAAATGTTCTTTTTGTCAGAAGAGCCCAGAAGCTCGGAGGCACGGTGAGTTAAGGACAGGGTGAGGAAACGTGATAACGGAAAGAAAGGTGCGCTGCAGAATACTAATCAGAAATATTTTAGTAGCTATGTTTTGTTTTTTGCATCTGTACTCTTCATGGCATCGTCATACTGGAGGAAACTGCACTAAACTGGAAAAATGAACTAGGTTTTCAGGTTAGGGTCTGTGAAATGGATTAAAAAGTTGTTTTTTATGTGTTTAATTTGTTCCAGTATCCAAAAAAGCCTGAACTCGCATAATTCAAACTTTTTAAAAAAAGGACTTGCCATATTGATTTAATGTAAGACAACTGTGCTGCTAAGGGACACATCTTTAGGTCGGGCTAATGCTAACTCAAATGATCTATGTCAATGATCGCCTCAAGTTCCTGTGGCTGTTCTGTAAAAGTTCTTCATTCAAATTCTCCTCACTTGTACTTTCTGCTTCTTAACCCCCCACCCCCCTCCCTCACCCCCTCACCCTTCCAACCTCAGTTTCATGTTTAGTATTCCAGCTAGAGAACAAATCTGTTGGGAAGAGGGCTGGAATGGACAAATAAGCAGAGCACCTGTGTGACAAGTAGATTTTTCCTCTGCGTCCATCTTCATAAATGTGACTGATTTGCCAATAAAACCACTGGTAAATGCTGTGACATTGATTTCTTCGCCAATTCCATAAATATAGTGATTTATTGTTTAGAGACGAAATGAAAATGCACCTGAACAAATTTAATTTCAAGTATTTTCAGAACTTGCCGTACTAAGTACCAACCGTCCCACTAATCTGACACTGGGCAAAGGCACGAACTTCAATCAGCAAAGGCTGCAACAGTCAGCCAAAATGTCAGGGTCAAGGTATGAATAATGAGTGTCTGCTCTAACACACTCCTGTCCTTCTTTCTTCCAGCATACAACGTCGACTGTCTTTGCAACTTCCCATCCTCCACCATGCCTACTTACCCTCCATAGGAGGGGTAGATGCCAGCTGCACCAGCCCCAGCGGCAGCCCTGGTTCCAGTCCAAGACACAGACACATGCCCCCGTCCTACCGGGTTATGGTCTCCGGCCTGTGAGCTGCAGGACGCGCCTCTACTTGGCTCTTTACAGAGGAGACATATATGGTTATTTTTTCTACAACAAATAGACTGATGTCATCAGCGTACATGCGTATTTTGTCTTGGATTAAGGAGAACGTGGGAAGAAAAGAGATCCTCTCTTGATGACTCAAGCCCACGGTCAGAAAGGGGGTGGAAGGAAGAAAGAGTGGGCAATGGATGACCCTATCAAACTACCACAATTCACTGCAGGGACCATGTGACTGTGGGTCACATGGTCCCTTTGCCTCGGCATATTCACATATGCACAATCAAAAAAATGAAAAAAAAAAAAAAAAAAAAAAACCCAACAAAAAAACCCTAAAAATACACACACACTGACACCCCCAACAGCAGTGTAACGGTGGACCACCCTGACCTGACGTGTAGCCTTATCTGCTTTAAAGGGGTTTGTCTGTTTTTCTGTTGTACGTACGTGCTAGCAGATACGTGTGAGCTTGTCTTCTTACTTGAGTATTTCACCACTTCAGTGACTGGATCCCAGTGTGGAACTGTGGGATTTACACAATTCGTCGACAAAAAACAAAACTGTCAATATTTCCTCCCCTGTCCACATCCCAAACTCACTGGGACGTGTAAATATCATTTCTGACTTTGACGTACTGTAAGCTTTGTCTATGATGTGAATGAACAAAGAAATGGGATGTGGGCGGAGCTTGAATGAACTTACTTCCTGTCGAGAAGTGAATGCGTATGGATGAGGTACAAATGAGTTTATGGTCCCGTCGAGAGACTTTGGACAACCAAGTTGAGAGTCACTTCGATGCCTGTGAGTCAAATAGCAACATGGGGCCGGTTCCTCTGAAAAATGTGAAGAAAGATGCTCTTTATTTTCCAACCAACTCAGAAAATCCTTCTTTTGCCTTTTAACAGGTCTCTAAGGCTGCACTCTAAGGCTGCACAAGAGTGTTCCACAGTGTGTTGTACACCAAGAAATGCACACGTTCAGATGCTCACCAAAAACACGAGAAAGAGAGCAGCGAGGGTCAGCTGCAGAGATACACAGTTAGAGGTTCTGGGTTTCCTTGGAATAGAGCAGAAGGTTGGTTGGTCCACTGGGTTCAGGCGAGGTACAAAGACCAACGACAACACGTGGGAGTCTGGTGTTCTGAGCCCCAGTCAGTGTAGCTTACAGTTCCAAGATGGTGACAGAACTCATGGTGGTCACGGTGACAGAGCATGAAGCACAGGAACACAGAAAAAAAAACCCTCCACACTTAGCAACAGTGAACATACCTCAGTTGCTATGGAAATGTAATTCAGCGCCGTTGATGTCGGGCCAAGAAAGACGCTGTGAGGAAAAGTCATCGACACAGTGTTGTCATTTTTCCTACTGGAGAGAAAATGTCCCGGCGAAGTAGGAAAGCAAACAAAGACTCGGACAAAAAAAAAAAAAAAAAGAAAAGAAAGAAAGGACATTTTTATGGAGTGAGAGCGAATTTGTTTTTAGCATATGTTTCACCATTGGTGTCTTGGTTTTTAGTTTTTAAGGCGTTCGTTTGAGCGCCGTGCCTGTTGTCTTATTCCGTAGCCTGCAGGACCCACGACACACCACCGGGGTATAAAGGTGTCGATCCGACAAAACTACAGCATCGATCACACGTGTAAATTGTATGTTTCATGAATTCATATCAGCTCAATGCCTCAACGCATGGGACGGTGCGGGAGAACCGAGCGGGAGCCTCACAGCAGCTGGGGCAGTTTTCCCTCCGCAACAAAAACACTGTCTATCGACATCCAGTCTGTGGACCACACAGAGCTGGAGCGGGGCACCAGCCGGCAGAGGTCGGGCTGTTTCGGGACATATTAGGGGGACAGTTCCTCCAGTTACAACTCCCTGCTGATCACAGGAGCGAGGAAATCCTGATCGCAGACCTCCGAGGAGCCTCGTCCTCGCCCCACGTCTTTGCCAACCAGAGAATCACTCGACAAGTGAGAGAGAGAGAGAGAGACAATGTCAAATAGGTTGATTCTTCTTCTTCTTCTTGGAGAAAGGCCAACCACACATTTTATATATTACATTATATGTGATTGTGTACAAGTTGCTGATACCCTGACGGTGGCGTCCATGTATGGAATCTTTGGTATTTGGCTTTCTCAAGACGGCATGATATTAAAAATGTATAATTCACAGAGTTACCTCTGTTTTTGCAACTGTCAAAACTGACAAATCCACTCTGCTGTTCTGTCTTTTTGCCTACAAAGATATTTTTCTTTTCCTCCGTTCATTTACTGGTGAATCACGGTTTCCTGTTCCTTTTCTGTTCAACGGTACAATTCTCAGCGACAAAATTCTGAAATTACTAAAACTTCTAGTTTATTCCGTATACATCTACCGAGGGCAATAAAGTGAAGGTAGTAGCAAACCTATATCTGTTTTTATAGGCCTTTTTTAAAAATTTGAGTTTGCTTTTTTCCTCAGTCCATTCAAAACGCTGATTGGTGACAGGTTTTTCTAAAGTGCCCTGCTTTGATTTCTTGAACGGTGGTCAGTTTTATTGAATTTCCTTTGAAAGTGGATGACAATTGTTCTAATGCAACTGTGGGTCAAGGGCTCATAATATCCTGTAATAAACCACACCGTGATATTGCCACCGGTCTTCTCTCCTTTCTAGTCTGAAGGCCAACGTGACATGTACATGTACCGTTCTATCTTTGTACGCGTCGTCGTCGGGGTTCTCTGGAGAACAGGAAGTATGCGTGTCCCTGAATACAACGTACGACATATAATAAGTGGTAAAAACACACAGGTCCATACTGTTACTGTCGTGTCAGTTAGATGTGTGCTGTCACATGGCGTGAAAAGGTCGAAACACAGAAACCTACGTCCGATGCAACATGTTCCAGAGGGGCAATAACTTGTTTTCTTACTACAGAGAGAATAGAGAACTACATATATATGAACATATATGTATATGTGACGATCTTTATGTACAGGATTTCTACGTCCAAAATATTTCACCAACGCCACAGGGATACTTTGGAGTCATTTTGTTTTTATTTACAGTATCTGTAATTATGTTATGTACAGATGAGGTATAGATATGAAAACGTTGTATAAAATAAGTATCACACTTGGAACACATGGGGGTTTTTTGTTTTTGGAGCCATTTGTTGTTTCTGGTTTGAGAGGATTTAAAAAAAAAACATTCTTTTTGTCTGAATGTTATGGACAGCCTTTACTTTTCACATCATCGTTAAATAAAGTGAGACTGAAAATGATTCACTGTTTGTTTTGTCTGGAGGAGAAGCTCTGATGTGGCGGAGCTAGCCCTGCTGGTTCTAAAAAGAACCTCATTTTTCACCAACTCTGGAGCAGAAAATTTAAAAAGCAGCAGTCCACCAGCGGGGGGAAAAAAACCCAACACCAACGAGCAGCCAGTGCTGCGGAGAGAGAGCGAGCGAGCGATCAATAAAAATATTTGCGTCTACAAAGAGCTGATCATGAAGTTTGACATGAAACTTTGCTGAAAATAATTAATAACAGTCACAAAATCTAACCCTTTACTGAACTTAAAGTCCACAGAATAAAGTATAAACTTTATTCAAAAATTTTATCCAGATTTTTAAAGATGTTGAGCTGAAAAGACATCACATGGGTCAGTGCATTTGCACTGAGGACCAGTAGTAGAGTCTTCACATCAGAACCATGAACTCAGTCAACCTCGTCGTCTGGATGGTAAAATCTAAACCTTCTTTTCATTGGGGTTCATTTAGCATTAGCGTCTGGACGGGGCTAAGCTGCAGGTTTAGCTCTGGTGTGGTTTTTGTTGCAGTTTGAATCATTGTTTGTCTGGTCATTGTTTTTACGTCTCGATGTTTGGTTTTCAACTAACCTTCCTCAACATGCCAGCCGCTGACAAAAAGTTAGATTAACGCAGAACAAAGGGTTCCCACCAGGTCAGGAGGTCATCTGGTTGGAGTTCTTTGATAAGAGCCCTCGTGTGGTCTTATCTACCTTATCTGATTATTTGTTCTGCTCAGGAACAGACGCAGCCTGTGGCCCCCAAACACACACACACACATTACTCCAAACTTGTATTTCACCTATTTCTTTTCTCATGTTGCACTTACCCCAAAGTGCTCTTGCGCCCGCTAAGGGACACACCCAAACATCATAAACTATACCAGGATTTAGTCATTGTAATCTTCATCAAGAGCAAAACAGTGGAATATATTCCAGATTAATACTAAAATATTGAGACCTAAAGGCTAAATTCACTTCATTAAAATAACATTTATTTAAATTCTGTGCAGCATTTATTGCTGTAATATATCTGCAATGTAAGTGGTGATAATAATCATAATAATAATAATAATGGTACTGGTACCGATTCAGAGATAAGAACATAGCTTAAAGGAGCACCATCTGTGTGTGTGTTTGCTGTACGACCTTCTCTCTCGTCTCTGCGGGGCCGTGTTGTTCAAATGGAAGGCGGCTTGATTAAGTTGACCTGCGTGTCACTTAAAGGAAGTGGCTACATTTTGCTCTCGGTGAGAAATGTTTTTTCTCTGGAAATGAGGGACATCTTGTTAACCAGTCACCGTATCTGAAATATTCCACAACACATTTATATATGTATATATATAGCTGGTGCCAAGTAAGCACACTTACAGGGTTTTGTGAGTGTTTAGATTAAGAACATATATGTTCAGTCAGACAGGTGATATCGGACAAAATGAGTCACAGTATATTTCTGAGTTTATGAAATCCGCAACCTCAGGATCCACGGGAAAATAACACTGCTAATAAAGTCTTTGCAAATTAAAAGACAAAAATCAGTTGAGAAAGCAGCGACTTGGCGCCCTCTAACGGCCCACAGCCACAAGATGCAATGCGCAGCCGCCCGTTAACCATCATTAAAAACCATTAATAGCGTCATGCAACCAAATCCTTCAACAACACAAGTAGCCGATAGAGAAAATACGATTTATACATGAATGGATTAGTTCAAACACATCGGAAGTACAAAAACCCCATCAACAACAGCACCAGAGCTGATAAGGTCACTAATAGTAATATTTAACGAGGAGGAAATTGATTGAGAAAGCGGCGACTTGGCGCCCTCTAACGGCAAACAGCCACAAGATGCAATGCGCAGCCGCCCGTTAACCATAATTAAAAACCATTAACAGCGTCACACAACAAGAAACACAAAAAGAAAGTCAACACTGCAAGTAGCCAATGGAAGAAGAAAAAAACACCGGAAGTACAAAAAAAGATCCATCAAACAAAAACAGCACAGCTGACAAGGTCACTAATAATACCATTCAACAATAATATTTAACGAGGCCATGCAAACTGGAGAACAAGCATCCAAGAAAAGCGGCACCACAGCCTCACTCAAACCCAAACACACGTGCATACATAATGAAACTTAAACTTACTTTGGGCAGAACTCTCCTTTTCTGGTCCTTGTTTCAGTGACGTGGAAGATTCCTTTTTTTTCTGCGTTGAACTCCATCAGGTCGCTCCGCTCCCATAGTCAGATCACGTCATTGCATTGGGGTGAAACACTCTTTGAAGGACTCCCTGTGATGATTAGTGATGGTCAACAGAACCTGTTTAACAATCAGGTTCTACGTCAACAATCTCCCCAGTGTGGGATCAATAAAATTAAATCTAATCTAATACACACACAGTATATACATACACAGTTGACAGTTACTGGGTGAGTCTGTGAGTCTGTGAGTCTGATTACACATGGGAGTCACCTGCTGGTGTAGTCTGCTGCAGTCTCTTGAAGGCCCTGATAGGCTGTCCCACGTCTAAAAAAAAACAAAAACAAATATATATGTATGTATATATATATGCATGTATATATATGCATGTATATATATATGTATATATATATATAACATCAACATTTTTCAGGATGCTCTTTGCAGACTCCTCAGGGCCAACTGAAACCCCCTGGATTAGAATTTTTTTTTTTTTTGCTGTGTTGTCATTAATTGACTCTGTTTTTCAGAAGCGATCAATGACCATAACCAGCACAAACTGACGGCATTTGTTCACCTTTAACTTTGCTGAACGTTGAACAATTCTTAATTAAGCAACCTGGGATCCTAGTATTGAATTGGAGGTCTTTTGGCCTGTGGCACACTATCCAGATTCAATACTTGCCCTCCAAGGGGGCCAAACTCCTGGTGCCCCCGTAACACATGACAGGGTACAATTAATTCTGAGTAGATACATTATAGGGCACTTAATATATACAATATATATATATATATATACTGTATACTTAGTATAACATTCAGTATGATATTGACTGTATATGTATATGTATTTTAACCTCCACTAATAATTAGTTAATTATTCTCTCCAAAACACATTTTCCTGCAGGTGTGTGTGTGTGTGAGTGATGTGTGTGTGTGTGTGGTCCGTCTTGACTGATGCTTCCACACAGACCAGGCACATGATTAGAGGGAGAGTAATGGTCAGCAGTTATGACCTCCTGTGGGGAAATTTATGTCTGTCACGTCACATCGACAGCAAATGTTTACTGCTCCCACAGTAAATCCTTGATTCCACTTCTTTTGTCCTTGGAAATTCTGTTCATGTTGACACACCAGCCCTCCCAAAGTTGTAATTTAAAAAAAAAGTCAACAGTACTTCATATCTACTGCAGTACTACTGGAAAGATTATAACATAAAAGTACAAAAAAACAAAACCAAAAACTTTAATAGAAAGGGTTTTTTTTAATGGCTGTGTATAAAACCAACACATTACCTGGTGTATGATGAGTGAGATGTTACACAGGTGATGATAATGATAAAACCATGGAATCATAACTACAGCTGTCGTTTGTTTACCTCTGTCTAAATGCAGTGTGATCCTGTCTCCTCTGAAGCTCCAACCCTGTCAACATCCATCAAATCATTCTATTCCCATGTTGCCTTCACTGTTTCAATCCGTTCTTCTGTTTTCAGACCGTGGGGCATCTGTGCCATGGACTTGTCCTGAGAACCGGCCCGTGACTTGACTGGCTGTCACACAGAGTGAAGGGCTCTGCCAGTGAGCAGCTGTAGCCACGGTGCTCCACACAGGCCTGTGGCCCTCCATTCAAGAGTCTGTCTTCATGCCAGAGACATAATAGAGTCACTGTTGCCGCTGCTGAAGAGCCCGAGTGTTGATGTTGAAGATTTTGACAGAGTGGTCGGTGCCGGCGCTGGCAAGCTGGACCCAGAAACTCTCGTCCTCGGTTTCATTCTCTTTTTCTGCCCGTCCACCCGTCCTGCTCTTCTGACCTGCTCGCCCGGCCCTGGGCCTCCAGCGCAGGGTCTTCACTGCCAAAGCGTGGCTCTGGCTGTAAGAAGATATGGTTCAGGGAAAAGGCCAGACTTCCACCATGATGACAAAAAGGGCCTGTATTTAATCCATCACATGACTCCTTGTGTCAGCAACAACTTGATGTGACTGACTATCTACAGTCTCAGTTCCTGGGACTCACAGCAGCATTTTTCTTTTCCCTTTGTGCTTATTGAGTTTTATTGACAATGACAATTTAACAACACTGGACTAATCTACCTGCCAAACCTTCCCTTTAACTGCTGCCCAGTGTAAATGGATCACAGCCAATATCATCAGGACGATGTGTTTAGTGTTTCCCCCATCTCTACTAAAACATTACCGATGCCTCAGCCTGTTGGCAGCCATATTGATGTCATTTAAATTGAATTCTCTTTAAAAACCATGTTTATATTTTTCAAACCAATTAGAATCAATTTTCTAAACCTCACTGTTTACACAGAGATGAAATCAAATCAGCACACACCTGTAGTGGAGTACAGGTGTAGTGGAGGTTCTAAAACAGTTGAGAAACTTCTCATAAACTCTGGGTTTGTTTCCACTGTTCAAGGATACAAGTTGTCTGTTTCAGCACAGCTGGTCCAGTCTCGTCCTTCGGCAGCTTCCTGGCTGGGACTCCACCTGTACAGCAGGATCCTACCACACTCCAGGCCAACTGCGACCAGGTAGCTGTGTGGAACACACAGGGGCTCACATCAAATCATCACTGCTGCAAAAGACCTGAACTCACCAGCAATGTTGAGCTGTTAAAACTTGCAAGCTGTACAAGATGTACGCGAGACATGTCTTATCATGTCACATGACATTTGAAATTATTAAAAAAAGAGTGAGTTTTACCGCGGTGCCTGTATGAATGTGTACCTGTGGTCAGAGCAGAGCACAGGGCAGACGGCTACAGCTGTAGCAGAGTCGCCCACATCCAAGATGGAGGAGCAGGGTTTAATCTCAGGGGGAAGCAGAGGGTCTGCAGAGCCTTCTGATCTGCAGGGACCCCACACTATCACCTGCACACACACACACACACACACACACGCACACACACAAACTTGAAATCAGGAGTCAGGATCATGATAAGGAGAACATCACTTCCATCCTCCGAGCTAGCATCTTCCAAATCACCTTCTTGTCCCGACTGGATGTCACAAAGTATTTGCTGTCGGGGGTCCAGTCACATGACCAGATGATCCGGCTGTGAACGGCCGTGTCCTTCCCTGTGTGCGCGTGCAGCGAGAACTGAGGCTCTGAGAGAAAATCACACAAACAAACAGAATTTAAAACCAGATTAAACCGACTGCAATCTGTCCTCCTGAGACTCCACCTGGAAGAAATAAAAACCTACAGCTGGTCATTTCTCAGAGGTCGTTCCTGTGCTACTGACAGCCAATGTATCTGTATCCAAGGTTCACATTAGCCATATCAACAGAAACATTTTTAGACTACTCCCCATTCAGATGAATAGCTCAGCAGTAATCATCATTTTAAAATTTTAAAACCTAAAATGTATCCATTCTAAATAAAAATCAACACCATTTGAACCCAATTATATTTCGCTTCTTGTTCAGTATATTTCTTACCTAGCTGCAGGAGTATGAAAAACAAACAAAAACCTACCGACTTATGTCAGGGGTGGTACTGTAGATATTTTATTTTAGTGTTATCATGCCAACCTGAGTCCAGACACAGGAGCAGCCCTGGAGTTCTACAACTCAAATGGAGCCAGAAGTGTTTTCAAACTTCTCAGTTCTCAGGGCTTTAAAAGCACCAGGGTGGACCAGACGGCAGGTGTGTGAACAGAGCTCATGCATTTTTAAACAGCGGCTGAGTTGTGTGGATGTGGATGTTCTTTCCCTGCCTTGTTTCAACTCAAGTTTGCAAAGCAACAATCTTTATAAAGTGAAAGGAACATTTTTGGGTTAATGTTGTTGATGCTGCAATTCTTACAAACCAAAAAAATAATAATAATAATGGAATTTTGGAATTTGGCAACAATAAAAAGAGTGAATTTGCAGCTCCTTTGACCAAATTCAGGGTAAGGAAAAAAATATTCTGATTAGTTAAATCAGTGGTAGTAGAGATCGGACCGCCACAGGGGGCCCAGACCCATTGCAGGGATCCACAAAATATACTTTAAAGTGTTTGTAAGTGTTTCCTTTACTTATGCCACAATGGGAAGCTTTAAGGGTAGAAAACGTTTTAGGAATCATTGCTTCATTTTTGTCCACTAGTCACAATAATTTGGACGCTGTGGTAAAGGTAATCAATCGGTTCTCTCCAATAAATCAATACAAGCTTTTGTAGTACAGTCAAAAGTGACCTGTTGACCCTTCGCAGTTTCCCTGAGTGATTCAGCAGCCAACCTGAAGAGACAGAGGCCACACGTCATAGAACATCTGTGTGGGTCACCGTGGAGTTGAACGGCACGGAGCCGGTTAGCTGACTGTCAGCGTCCGTTACAGCAGTCAACACAGATATGTTACCAGGGGCAGATGGGATGTAATCCCTGAGATTAAAGGTCCTGTTCTGCTCACTTTAAACACAGGATCAGGGTATTTGTCCAGACTGTTCCATGTAAACACAATCTTATAAAGAAGGCTCTTTATAACAAGGTGCGAGTTTCTTTTACTCAGTGCAATGATCAGTTGATGAAAAATAGTTTTTTTTTTCAAGGATTATTAATTGTTTCCAGGACTTTAATGTCCAGGACATGTGGAATCCTGGAACAGTCCATTTATGTAATGTAAGGTGATCCAAGATTTTTTGGATGGCCAAGTGGAGACACAGTGCGTACACAACAGTAGCTGAACAACATGCAACCTGCAAGAAAATGAATCCAATGAAAAAGACAATAACACTGTCATATACATTTAAATCCATAAAGTACTTACCTAAAGCCCATTCACTTCACTTCACCACAAAAGTAATGAAGTACTTGTAGCAGTGACTGATTTTGAGTCACCCTTGTTCCTCACACAACGTGGATTAAGACAGTGCTGACCTTCCAGAAACAAATCTCCGACTGTTTATGTCACTATCACTGAGTTAGGTCTGAGGGGGAGCGTGGACCACGCAAAGAGACTAAATTAATGACCTGGGTGAGCGGCACGGAGAGAGCTTCAGATCAATACTTATGAGCCTTGAATCAGAGCTGAATGCCACAACAAGCCAATACATAGTGGACGGCGCTGGTGTTTCGTTCCACAAGAGCAGCAAAAAAACAAAATAAATAAAAAACTGAAAAAATATAGTTTTGCTCTTGAGCCTGACATGATATTCACACAGGCACAGATCTGATGAGCTGCTGCAGTGCAATGCAGTTTTGCTAAACCAACAAGGCCTCTGGCAATAAATGATACAGGAAGACATCTGTTGTGTTCTGCATAATTTCAAATTCACCACCAAGATGCGGTTCCCATTTCCAGGCACAGTTACATGAAGGAGATTCAGACGATGCTTTTATTTTCTGTTTTTAAAACATCACTCGCTTGATTTATCATAAGAAAAAACCTTCACTTCTGCGAAGCTAAATTTAATTAGAAATAAATCTATATGACGACAAGTGTTAATGGATCAGTCCTGTGTTTTTAAATGTGTTGTCTTAATCTGGAGACGGAGAAGTTTATTCACAAACTACATCTGACGAGTAATGTATACGTACTAGCTTCATCTTTTTCCTCACCTGGACTTTCAGGTGTGGACCCACTTCGTCTCCACAGAGACCACGTGCGATCCCGAGAAACCGCCAAGAGAAGCTGTCCATCTGGTGAGAACGCCATCTGAGTCACCGTGAGGCTGTGGCACCGCAGCGTTTGCAGCTGACGCCACGTCTTCGTGCTCCACAGGAAAATGGCTGCATGTTCTGCTTTAGAAGCCTGTAGAGACGGTGTGGATTCCTTCATGACATTATAGACTATTTTTGAGAAACTCAATTTTAAAATGAATTTCTACAATCTTGTTTCCCCGTGTTTCTTATTTGCATGGCACATACTTCCTCTCTATTCAATCACTGAGGTCCAGCAATTTTGTAAAGCGATGACACCTAATGGCTAAAGGTCAAGAACATTCAGCAGCTTTTTCATCTTGTGCTAAAAAACATCTCCCTTGAATGACAATTCAAGACCAAGACCCTTGGACTGGTGGTCTATTTCTGAAATAGACACACAGCAACTTCATTAGGTTTAGTTACTGTGCAAAATTATTGTAGAAAAAGAAGGAGAAAATAAAGAACAGGAGAAATCTTTATATTTATGTGTCTGTCTCCACCACTCGGGTCAAGAGACTGTGGTCCCAATAAATAATAAACTGACAACATGGTGTAACACAGATTGTGTGCGCGTGTGTGTGTGTGTGTGTGTTAGTCGTGATGTTTTATAGTTCCTGATCGAACACCCTTGCTCTGGGGTGTCGTATAGTCTGAACTACGACATGTTCTACAACCTCAAAGTTATCACACTGACCTTGCAGGCGGACGCCACCACCGTCTTGGCACTGTCAGACGCGAGGCAGAACATCTCAAAGCCATGGCCGTACCTGCAGGAGACAGAATTCAAACAGAGAGACGTTAGCATGTAGCATATACTGTAAATAAGAGAGAGAGGAGATTATCAAATAAAGTGAACGGTGCTGTTGTTCCTTCTCGTCACTGTAGGACAACAAAGATCGAGAAATGACGATGAACTATTTCTAATCTCCAGTTAATCACCCAGAGTAACAACATTTCAGTGATGGTGTTACCTGGCTGAATTAAAATGTCAGAGTAAAACTGCTGTACTAGTTGGAGAAAAATGAATCCCAACCAGCAAGCTCGGAGCCTGTGCATCAACTCGGCCTCACACAAGAGAATAGTAGTCAAGCCAGGAAAATAATTTGGCCAATAACTCATTTTAATGTTTCTATTATGCAACAAATGATTCAAGGGGTGAAGCCGAACAGAAAAACAAACACTACTTACAGCTTGCAACCAACAGCAACACCATACGTCATGTTTATGGTGGACAGACTGGTAAATGGATTTATTATTGGTCACAAATGGAAGCAATATGTTAAGCCTGGAGAAGGGGCTCAGGAAAATAAAAATTTCTGGGGGCAAAACTTAATAAACACCAACCCTCGTGTTGAGTTCTGTTTCAAAAACTCTATTTGGAATGTAGATATACAAAAGCTGAAATAGCTGTAGCACTTCCATTTATCTGGGTAAAACACAGTGGAGGTTTTTTTTTTCTTCCACCAGCAACAAACCTGAGACCGAAGAGAAGCTGAGAGAGCTTTGATATGTAGTTAAGAAAGAAACCTCGGAGTACTCACAGTTTCTGAACCTCCGGCCACAGTGTGTTCTGGAGAAGATGATCCTCAGGTGGAGGCTCTGCACAAACACACACACACACTTATCTTTGTGTTTTTTCTGAGCACTTAGACATAATTCAATCCCCAGGCATTTAGCCCAACTGTAACTATTACAAACACACATCGACATAATGCAATTCCTTGATCCTCACTGGAACCTTAACTAGAACAAACGTGTCTAACCTCAATCCTAATCCTAATGCCAATCTGACCCTAATAATAATAATTCAATCTTCAAACTAGTACTCTCTTAGTAAGTCGAAAAAAAATGTCCAAATAAGGATGCTATACAAGTATAAAGAAAGCACACGTAAAATGTCAAATACTGTGACTCGCAGCTCACTATATAAGCACTGGACTTGAGTGTCTACGTCAATGTTCGTCTTTCCATCCCAGTGCTTTGAGTGACATAATATTTATACGTAACTTTGTTACAGGTGTAAAAGCTGCAGGCGAAAAGAATAAAAAAAAACACACCAGGAGGTGAGCGCTACATGCTATTCTGAAGAGATGATTTCTTTTTTTTGCCTCAGGACAATGTTCTCCCACACTGCCGTACAGCTTTGTTTAGCATTTAACTTTTATGGATTCTTCAGCTCTGTAACTCTGCAACCTAAAAAAGCTGCTTCTGAAATAACCGCTGCTTTATCTCCACTCCTGAAGCACTGCAGGCTTTGACAACAAGCAAAAATTAGCCGAGTGTCGATTCACCTCTTCGCACATCAGCTTCTCTCTCCAACCTGCACCACATTCGTTTCTGCATTTAAGTAAAACCCACGCTTCTTGTGTTTTCTTCTTGGTCATTGCCGTCCCCGTTTGTAATAATTAATATTAATTTGTCTTCTCTCAGATTAAAGCCAATCCAAGGAGAAAAAACGCAGCGCTCACAGTCTCTGCACTTGGCTGCTCACTGCACAGCCCGGGGTCATTGATATTTAAACTTGGCAATCACAAAAGCCTGTTTTCTAATTAGCACTGCAGATTTAGAAGTGGCTTCAATCTTGCTGATGACAGCCCTTCACACTCTCTTACCCAGAGGTTTTAAAGTGCACAGCAAGTTTCTCCTCATTTAACCGTCGTCCAATTCTCATCTGCCTTCTATTTTCCTAGTTTTCCTTGAGTTTTTTTCCCCCCATTTCCCAAACCAGTGTGACCTTTTTCTGAAACTTTCCTTCTGACTTAGTCTCCGACTTAAACACTGCAAACTCAAAAAGAACTCTGATGTTAAGGCTAGGAGGAAAATGAATTCACATCAATGAATGAGGGATGTGAAACTTATTTTGGCCGGACCAGTACAATCACAACATAATATCTATAAATACCAATAAGCCCATGTTCTCCTGCAAATAACTACAAGTTTATAAGAAAATATTAACATTTAATGAAATATAATTTAACAAAACATCACCAACGTGAAGTATTGGTGTATTTTTTCACTTTCAAAATTCATCAAGTGGGCCAGATTGAACGCTTGGCAGGCTAGTTTTGGCCCACAGGCCGTATGTTTGACACCCCTGCTCTATGATGTACCTTTCATGATGAGTGGATGGAAGTAGGACTCTTGGTATTGGTCGGATGCACTGGTGAACTCTTCCTTCGCTTCATTTGGTTTTGGAACAAGGTCACCTAAAAATGTAAAGGGTTCTTTATCAGATTAAATACAAAGAGGAATTAAAACGGCATCTGTCTCATAGAATCAGAACCACTTAGAAAAATGGATCTCTGGTTGAAAATATGGGTTTTTACCTTGAAAAACAGCTTTGTTTGACAGACCTAGAGCAGGGGTGCTGGCCCCCTCTGGAAGGTTGGCACAGTCCTGGTATTGAGTGGAAAAGAAAAATATCGAGGAATCGAACACGAGCGAGAATATTTTCCTCCACCGACCCAGAGGACTAGGTCAAAGTACAGATGAATCAAATTGAATGCTTTTCGTTGTTTTGACACTCACGCTGGACGTCAGCAGCTTCTCCCTCGACATCCCTGAGATGCTGGCGAAGTTCTCCACAAAGTTGCGAGGCGCTTGAAACACTCTCAGGACCTTCTCATCGGCTCCGGACACAAACTGAAACCTCCCCACCATGGCCAGGCACTGCATGTCGTATCCGTGGATCTGTGGCCGTGAGATTTCATGCCAGGTTGTCTGCGGGGTTGTAAAGACACGGCAAGATTTCATTAGGATGCTAAACAGCTGCGGTTGCCGGGGTAGGTGCCAGTAATTCAACGGAGCCTCTGATGGAGTGCGGCTCCTCGGCCCTAAATTTAGGCACTTGAAAACAGGCCAAACAAGAAATTGATTCTCCTGCTCAAATAAAAGAGATATCCAGATTAAGATGCAAGGTGTTCTCACAAGGAGAAATAATGGTCTTCTCTAAAACAACTAGAGGGTTTAGTTTGGCAGTGGAACTTGGTGGCAACATTCCAAGTAGCATCCTGAATAATAATCTCCATGTCTTTAAAAAAACAAAGTTCTTACACTGCCTTTAGCAATCTGGACCTGGACAACTGTAATGTTAGATGCTGCATTTTTCCTAAAAATATCAGGCCTTTTTTATCAGCTCATCTTAAAAGTTATTTTCAGCTGTGTCTCAGGTGAGGCTACAGCAGCTTCTTTACCGGTGCAGAGTCTTGTTGCCTCCATGGGGTGAAGAGCCTGGTGGTCTGGTCTGAGCCCACGCTGACAATGAACTCGCCCTCAGGATCCCAGCTGAGGTCCTGCACCGCATTGAAATGTCCTGATATAACAACCCCGGGGCTCCACTCCCCCTGAACACACAGAGTCACAGTAGTCAGTTCATATGAGTTTACCAACCTGCACTGAGTTAAGAACATCAATGTAGGAGGTGACGTAGCCATAAATAATAATGATAATAATATGTTTATTCATTCAATTCATTCTGTGCCAACAAAATCAGTGCATCTTTATATGGAGTCAGAGAAGAATGACTGGCCCTGTTGGTACGACATGGACTGTGGTATAATGGTTGGCTCCATTTGAAGCATTTGGTGTTTGAAAAGTCTAAATTAGTGAACAAGATCGCAGGGTTTGCTGTCACTATTAGATTTGCTTGTTGGAGGATAATTGCGCTGCACTTATCTCCGAAGCCGGTTGTGACTCCAGATCTCAGCGCTCGGGTGAGACAACCAACAAAGACACATTGTGAGCCAGTCAAATTGAGTTTCATGGCAGGCAGGAGACTCGGCGCAGATAATTAAACTAATCACTTTCTCACTTACTTACTCTTATGTTGCCAGACAACGGCACTGAATCTATCTTGTGGGTAAACGCCGAGGCTTTTGAGGCGGTGGTACACGTGTTTCCTTTTTAACCCAATTATTTTGTTGATATTAATATTCAAGAATAGGACTCGAACCTCTTTTTCTTGGTCCTTGCACCAGAGATGCAGTGCACCATGAAAAGCATGAGCCAGAATCATGGAACCATCCGGGCTCATCTGGCAACCATAGAAACCCAGCGTGTTGCCCCCGACTTCTCCTACACGCACCTGGTGGAAATGGAAAGAAAACCGTTACTAACTAGAACAATTAACTTAACCACTTTTCCACAACACATTTGTGTCTGCAGACAGACAAGTGAACATCATTAGCTCTGCAGGGAAAAGTCACTCATGTGGCAAAGACAAAAAACAAATGTAGAAATGCATGAACGGCTGCATACAGAGGAAAATCAACAGTGGTTTTTCTTCTGCTACTTCTAGGAGATGACTGTAGCACCTGTCATCACGTCACATGACGCAGCATAAAGCCCATTTGGTTTTCCTCCTGGGTTTTATTTAAAGACAAAAAGCTTGTCTTTAAATAAAAGAAAAAAAGCTTGTCTTTAAATAAAAGACAAGCTTTTTGTTGAAAAAGACAGAAGAAAAAAAACATCCAATTTTTTCTAAACCCCCGACTAACGACGAACGTTACTCAAATGTCAGGGAAGGAAAAAAAAACAGCCAATCAAGATGACAAGTCGGATGAGAAAATTATGCAAAATGGGACTTATTAGAGATAAATAAAGTGTTTTTCCTCAGAAAAGTACATTTGTCTAATACAAAGAAAAACGCGAGCAATTACAGCAGAGCTTAATAGGCCGATGAAAACCCGCAACGCTTGAGAACACACAGGGATTTACATAAATTGGATCAGGGTGAGAGCCTGTGACCCCTGAGTCACATTCACAGTCAGATCACACAGACACAATAAAATGGACTCAGTTCTACTTGTCTGAAAATACACAATAGTATCAGAGATTGTTTCGCTTATGCTACGGAAAACTTTTGATGAATGAGCCGTCGCCTCTGAAGCTGAAACTCTTACACGTGAGGGGAAAAAAAACGCTTTGCAAACAAAATACAACAGACTGAATATCAGAGTTAATCTCTATGTCCGCGAGAAGAAACATTTTTAGTCATCGTTATCACTTTGACTTGCTTCGGAATTTCTGTCTTTATCTCGTTCGTCTCAGCTCTCCTATGATGGTGGTTTTACAGCAAACGAAAAGAGAACAACTGACTGGACCAACTTTCAGAGGGTTTTGTGGACCGCTGCACATTTTGACTGCCATGAGAATCGTCAGACAATTAAAAGCTTTATCAGGCCCCTGAGGTCTGGCAGGTAAACTGGGCCAAAAACTGAGATCTATTTAAATCGTCTGCAGGAAAACAGTTTGAGCTCTGGAGAGTGCTTGGCCGCTCCCACAGCACCACTGTGGTCTTTACCCAGATATGGCTGTGTCATATCTCATCCATCTTTAATTAGCTGTTTTCTTAGACAGTGTTGAGGAAATGTAAAAAGTGCTAAATTTACACTCATTAAAAATCTCAAATGATGTGGATCCTGGTCTTTTATCACGAACAAGAGGAGGCAGATTTGCTGGAGCGTCCAGAGCTGGGAACGTGAGAAAAGCGGCCATAAAGATGTGGGCATCCATTACATGATGCAGCAACAAGTCAGGAGGCCACACGTGAATTCACCAGAGCAGACACACACACACACACACACACACACACACACACACACACACATTTGCAGTCTGTCTAAGGGGAAGTGGTGTCCGCACACATGCATACCATTAATGACCTTCAAACAACGGCCTGGTCTGCTAAGTGATCCACTGACACTGATAAAGTCACGGCTTCACGTTGAATATCAGAGGTGGTCAGGTGAGAAGAGCGCCGGTGAGATTGAGAGAAAAAGAAATGCAACATTAAGCAGATTGATTTTAAAATTCCACACACAAGAGCCGGCTGTAAATCATGTGAAAACTCACAGAGGCAAAGAGCCGTCATCTGTCTTGTTTACGAGAGGAGGAACAATATGGATGCAAAGCGTGCCTTATCACTGGCCGGTGGCAATACGAGGGAGGAATAAAACAAGGACAGCGAGGTAGAGATGACATACATCATTCTCAGAGGAGAGGAAAGAGGTGACGAGCACTCAGAAAAAACCCAGACAGGCCAGAAAAGCCCACACTTTATGGATTTGGAATGAAAATGTTCTGGGTGAAAAGCTCTGTATTGGATTGTGCAAACATTTCTGTGTGAAATTGACATTAGAAAAAAAAATAACCAGACTAAAATTGAATCTCAATTTGAAGGCATTGGTTTTTAACATAAATCAAGGACGTGAATGTATCATTTATTCAAATGTTTTGATCATGTGACTCGTGTCACATTTTTAGTAGAACGTTTATTTGCTCAATAAACTAATCAACCCTTTAAATATTAGTTTTTTGAGTCATAATAGATTAAAACATTAAAAGAATCCAGATGGACCACAAGAAGAAGTGAAGAGGAAACACTAGAAGTTTCACTACTATCTGCCTTTGTGAAAGAACTTATTGATGGGGAAAAGTATCTTGGTGGGTGTCATAGCCCCTACTGGCCAGCAGTAGTACTACAACTAGAACTGATTCTGTTGTCTGTCTATGTTCTACAGTTCTTCCTTGTTTTGTCCAGCTACAAACAGATGACATTCAAAGACATTTTCTCCCCAACTCTCCTAACTCTTAACCATGAACCATGGAAATAGGTTATCTCTCAAACACACACAGAGTGACAGCCCCTCCAGGCACTGTGGTTGCCCGCTGTGGTCAGTCTAGATGTGTAATTACCAGTGAGTCTCGTTAGTAAGATGTTCTTTACGGCGCAGTGGGCCCTGGCCACCCCACTGCTCACCCCACTATCTATTAAATCTCACCAATTACTCTAATCAGTCTGAGGAAGTGGAGCACTACTTTGTAAAAATCAACTAATTAAGACACACAAGGCTGGACATTTTTGTGAGAAAAGCTTTTGTGAAGACCGTCCAGAAAACACATTTTAGAAGAACCAAAGAGAAAAGGGCGTGAATAGAACGTTCTTCCTCTCTGTGTAATTCCAGCGACGCAGGTTGAACAGTAGAGTTGACTGAGAAGCTGTCAGTTCAAAGGCTTTGGCTCCAGTTTGAGGAAGAATAAATTGAGACAAAAGGAACAGAAGTAGAGAGAAAAGAAATTAATATTCAGTACCCTTCCAAAAAGATTTTAAAGATTTTTTTTTTTTGGGACTAATAAGCTGTGGAGGGACTTCAGCTGCCCCTGACTTTAATCCAAACGTCTACTGCTACCTTTCTTTTTCATCTGCCTGCTTTGTCTAATCACACAAAGAAGAATAGAAGACATTAGGACTGGCTTCAGGCCCTAATCACGGTCCCTTTGTCAGAGAGGAGGACACTCCAACGGCCGCTCCTTTCTCTTTTCTCTGCTCTTTGTTGCCCGTCAATGTGGATGTGAATGATGACATCAAAGGTACAAAAACGTCTCTGATCAACTGTGAAATCTTTTTCATCACCTGGGAGCGTGATCACAGTCAAGGTGCCTGCCGTCGCCACGCGAGTGGCATTTTGTTGAATGGGACACGGCGCCGTGTGGGACACGAGTCCCAGCGAGTGAGTGAGTGTGCCTGAGTCAGCAGTTTGAGTCTGGAGAAGTGCACTTCAAGTACATGAAGAAGTAATATGGAGCCATCTGAGATTTTGACAGTCGTATTTAACGGGGGGAAAAATGTGCAGTGCAGCTGGGTGGAAGATTATTTTTCTGCCTTTGCCATCCACACTTGGTGTTAAATTTAGCCCCACTCTGGCACAACAGCAGCTGTTTGGAGCTTTGGGAGGTGAGGTGGAGAGAGAGGGAGAAGTGACAGAAGAGGGGCGAGCAAAGCTGGAGGTGCGGGCAAACAGTAGCACAGAGAACTATAGAATGTAGGTCTAGGATGTGAAAAGAACAGGGGCAGCATAAGGGGGGGGGGGAATCACAGGGAGAAATGTGCTGAGAAGTAGACCATAGAAAAGGAGGACTGTGAGAGACAAAAGGGAAGGTGGGGGAGGACGACATCAGTTGGAATTCATAGTAGTACTGTCCATTTGACAACAACTATACAACACTGGACGAGAAGGACTTCAAATAAAGAGACAATCAAACTAGTAAACGTGTGTGTGTTCCTGTGTGTGTGTCCACAATAGTTCCTTTCACAGAGTGACTGATGCCCATCCCTGTCAACTTTGTATTCCACCCAACACTGACCTGCTCCACCCAGACTCCAGATCCCTCCTCAGGAGCCCAGAGGATCATGGTCTTATCCATGGAACCAGAGAGGAGGCTGAGAGTTTGATGCAGCCTGTCACCTGTAGAGGGAGACAAATTAACAATTAAATATTGCCAAAATTAAAAAGGACTAAATAAAACTAAACAAAACAAAATAAATATCCACATGCTGGCAGCAGTAGTTAAATATCACTGGTCGATGGTCTGATCCTGTGTCCTCAGTATGAATGAGACTGTGATGGTTGTTAATGTGGTCCTGTGATGGACTGAGGAGTTGTCCTGACTGTAGCAGTTGAAGATTAGACTACATTAGCTTACGCTGCATCAGTGGTGGACATTTCCTCAGAGGATCTAAACAAAACAATGTGTGAGGAACAACAACCACGAGGGTGGATGCGACGTGACCTTGATGTTTTTGAGCTTCGAAGGGAACCACAGTTTCAAGAGAATATTTAGCACATCTGCAAGTCGTTCCCCTGAGACCTTATTAAGACGATAACATTTCACACCATTTGTTTTGTGTGTGTGTGTGTGTGTGTGTGACGATGGGAGAAAAACACATTCTGAATGAAACAGAAAAGTGATTGAAGTGGGAATACCTTGAAATTCTAGAAGGAATGATTGTGTTTTGAACAAATGCTGGAAACAAATTGCAGCCCAGGTGTCAAACTGTCAAATGCTGTTCTAAGAACGTAGTGGACGAGGGAAAAGTCTATAGTATGTAGTTAGGAAAAAAGGACCTTGGTGTAGAGGAGGCTGCCAGTGGATCCCATACACCCAGTTCTCATGACCAGCCAGAACTGTCTCAAGAGTCACAGCAAATTTTGTGGTAATGTCTGAAACAGAAAAAAAGGACAGAAAGAAAGAAAACAGAGATTAGTTTGAGTCCACGTTAGACGTCTTGTTTTGTTGTAATTTATGAACAAACTTTCCTAACGTCTGGAGTCTAGACAGCTCACCTGCTTCCGTCACTTCAAAAACGTCCTCTTTCATTCTGATGACGGTGTGATCGTCCTCTGTGTGGGTGTCTGTCCCAGACTTGGCACAGAGTCTCCACACTCTGATGAGACAGTCCTGTGAACAGCTGGCTAATAACAGCTCCTCACCTGAGTGAGTCACAAACAGTACTTCAGAGACTTTCTGAGGAGGAGACAATTCCTGACAAACCTCCAAATAGAACAAGGATGAATTCATCAAAAAATATCACTCAGATTTCTCTACTTAGGTTCTTTTTAGCATCTTAACCACTGTGTTATTCCTTAATGCAGTAGTTCGCGACGTGAAGAACTGCCCCCCCTCCAGGAAGAAGGGGCTCACTGCAATATTATTGTAATTTTATTTTATTTTGTCTGTTGGAATTACTTATTATTTTAGATCAAGTTTCATGGAGTTTTGAAGCATACGCATTACAAAAGGGGGGATGCTGCAGAAAATGGCGGGGGACTCTGATTTACTTAAAGAGAAAAACACCTGTCATCATGACAAAATGACGGCAGATGACGATAAAAACAATAATAAAAAATAATAATAATAATGTTGAAGCCCACCTGAAGTTGTCCATTCCACTCCACGAACCCAGTCCTCGTGTCCTTGCAGTGACATAGCCTTCTTGAACTGATGTGAAGAAATGTAAATGTTTCAAGGTGGAGTTTGAAAAATGAATTAAATATAAGTGAAGCCTTAAAACATGTGTCAAACTCAAAGCCCACGGGCCAAATCCAGGCCGTCCTGTCATGTTATACAGCCCACTAGAGCTTCTTATGTGTAGGGTTGTTTTAAGGTCTGTACTAATGTCTACTGGATCAACCAGTTCAAATTCTTCATTTCTGATTAAATTATTGCCAGTTCTAGACTGTTCTAGAAATATTGATCCTGAACAAGAACTTGGGTTTTAAATTTCAGACCCTTAAGTGATTGAGTTTGTCACATTTTTTAAAGTGTGTATACATCCAACTTTACCTGTCCATTGGACCGGATGTAGAGGTGTACCCTAGAGTCATCACCCCCACAGGCTAGTATGGGAACTGCAACACATAAAGTTTATGTAATGTTTTCCTTATAAATTAATTTCAAACAAAAACAACACGTTCACATCTAATTAATTTCTTAATTAAAAAAACAGCACCATTGTGATACAAAGACACGTCTAACAGACATGGAAGCGTCGGTAAGGAAAATGACATGAAACACTTCAAACCCAAAATGTTCTGTGACTGTGACAGGAGGAGGGCAGATTGAATTGGGAGACATGAGGTGAAAAATCTGTACGTGCCGGTGTGTGTGACACAGGGCTTCAAAGACGCCTGTGTAGGAACATCACAGACTTACCTCTGCTGCCTGGCAACAGCGCCAGAGAGACATCCATCATGAAACCACTGCCAAATGATATGACATGGAGGCTCTCAGCTGAGGAACACACATGGACGTGGGATTAAACTTTCTCATCCACTACAAATGACATTTCACAATTAATTAGGCTCAAATGCGTGGCTTTCTGTCTTGGCGCAAACAGAGTTTTGTTTTTGACGTCTTTCTGAGTGACACATTGGGGTAAAAATTTACAGTCAAATTCATCATTTTGATACAATGTGGACCAAGGCAACAACTCAGATCTCAGAATTATTATGAGGAAAAACTACAGGTACATTAACAGTCTGTAAGCAGCTTGAACATCCAAGTTGACATGGCAGACACTAAGGAGCTCATTTAATATTTAACTACACAATAAGAGTAAAACAACTAATATAATAATATAAAATATAAACTATCCATCGTATCTGATTTTGTTAACAATGCAGACCCTCTTACCAGCCACTAGAGGGCGAATAGTCACCAGTACTGCTTTTTTTGTCAGAATACGTGTCTTTTTTTTTTTTTTACCTTGTTTGTCCTCATGACATAGCCACAGTCTGACTGAGGAGTCAGATGATGAGGAGGCCACCAGAATGTCTGAGTCCTCTGTGTAGACGGCATCCACAGCAATAACAGGACCAGTGTGGCCTTTACACTCCACTGACTGACTGATCTGTAATTAGGGCATGACATTAAAAAAAATATTAATAATTCTTAACAAAGTAAACTTTAGTCGAAACAAGTAAATTTTTTTCTTGACCTACGTTCTCATTCTGAGTTTCCCAGAGGATAAGTCTATTGTCGGAGCCTCCGGAGACCAGATGACTCTTCAGAGCTGAAACTGTAAAAATACAGACAAGCAAAGATTGGTCAAGTAATGAAAAAACAGGTTTGAGAATCTTAAGAGCAAATGTATGTATATATTTAAATCAATGTACAAAAGTTTTTTGTGGCAGGGTCTTTTCAACAAGAAAAACTTTAAACAGATTGGCCATAAAAGATGCAAACTGACAATAAGTCATAATTTCAACTAATAGTTTTTATTAACAATCTGAAAGAAAAAAAACCCGTATAGCTGTTGATGTCTGTGTTGTTTTGACACCTCCACCTCACCACTTTACTTCCTCACTGTACTCACTACTGTCTTCTTCTCCTTTGACCCATTGGACTGCATTCACTCTGCCTGTGTGTCCATTTAGCACAGCGATGTTTTTTCTTTCCTGCAAATGAAGAAACAATATACATTTTTAAGGAAAATACGGTTATTCACTAAAGTTACTCGTCGTTAACAGCAGCTAGCTCTCAAGGAGACATTTCAACAGACATTATTACCCGCGGGTGATACAGAGCCACAGAGTTACATGTCCCGAAGGCAATGATACCGTTTCGACTCCAAGAAACAACGTTTGGTGTCCTGTTGGCACAACAAGCAACATGGCATGTTTCTATCACAGGTGCCGCCATCTTGGAAACTGATGTTGTGGCGTTCCTCGAAAAAGGGCTGTAGTTAAAACACGATACCTTAACTTTGGTTCCGTATCAAGCCACGTCCAAAATTGAATTCCAAAATTGTATTTAATTAATTTTTCCATACAATAATTCATCCCCATCATCATCAATATAAAAAAATATATATTTAGTGTTTTGTTATAAACCATACAAACAACTCCCTCTGCAGGTTATACAAACTAAAAGGTCTTGCTGTGTAATATCCACAAGATGGCAGCAAATGATCACAAATAAGCATAACAGGTTTCTCATGATCTTTATGTCAGTCAAAAAAAAAAAACTATTTTGAACGAACTAATGTAGTTTGTATTTTGTTACTATATTACTAGGTGTAGGTGGTACCAATACCTTTTCCACTATTCTGAACTAACAACACACAAAAACAAAACATAAATAATTTATTAACTTGTCATTTATCAGGACAGCATGTAAAATGGCAGATTAAACCAGTGCTAAAATGGTATCTGATTGTCAAATGCAAACCTGTCATTTGGCTTTGATTTAAAACCACCAACATACCACAGTGTAGACAAAGTCTTTTGTCACATTTTGTTTGTCACTTTTTGAAAGTGTTGACTGGTCACAGCTGAGCTATCTGCCAGCCGACAAGACACAGACGAGATTACTTACAACGAAAGCTGCAGGACATGGTGGATTTCAAAGAACCAGGCAAGAGTCTGTCACAAGGACTTTGTAAGCACCTACTTGACGTGCACATGGGGGAACGTGTGGTGGCATCTGCAAGCCCTTGAGATAATATGATAAATGACAATGTAGCAAAGACAAATAGCAGCAGAACCAATGAGGAGGTGGAAAGAGACGAACAGCTGGGTATTATTTGGCTTTCCACTGAATACGCTGCCCTTTGGTGTATGTGCACAACGAAAGAGTAAACAGATGCACTGTCACCCACACTTGTGTGGAAAATTGATTGTATTTGTCCTGCTGTTGCTCACTTGGTTTTTGTTAGTGAGACAGAATTTAGGGCTGACTTGGCAGGGCAAGACGACCTCTCTGAGCTGCGGCCGATGCCTCCGTGGATCTGATCTCCAGAGAGGCAGCTAGATGATAGCTGGAATGGAGCCAAACAGCTGTGTTTCTCTGGGAGGAAAAAAATAGACTATTATCTTTGTTCTGCCTTGACGAGGCATTCATCATGCTCTTGTGGTGGCGACGGCGGTACCTGCTCGTATAACGGAGAATTAATTTCATCAAATGTAACAGGGCTTTGTTGCGAAGGTGGGTTCTTTCAGAAGGGATCTTGATTATTCTTTTTCTCAAACAAAAGAAAATAGCAGTGTGGATTTGTGTGAGATGTTTTGTGAACATGTCTTTCAGTCGGAGTGATTAATGTCACACTAGTCCCAGTTTAACAGCCTGTGGTAAAGCCTTGTTTTTCTGGGTCATCAAACTCAAAAACTACCCAGAGTAAAACTGCCAATGCATTATGTCATTGTCAACAAGTTCATGCTGAATGTGTGAGGAGCACAGAGGATGGACATTTTGCAAATCATTGTAATTAACATCATAATTAACAAAATTCACTGAAGTTATCACTCTGTTGAAACTTCATTCCATTTAAATATTCTTCAGCAGTCTTGAGCCGTCGTTTAATATTGGGGTGGGGGGGGGGGGGGGGTTTCACCTGTAGGAGAAAATCACACTCTAACACTGGTTGAGACAGGCAGTGTAATTACTGTGATTATACTATTAAACTTTCACAGACAAAGACTATATTTTTACTTGGGCATTTTTGCTCTTTGTAAGACTGAGGGGTGTTTGGCAGTCTGTGGTCATCGTGGGCTAATGTTACTCTTTTTGATGCACGAGATGTTTTGGATTAGGAGAGAAATCTGTGCTGCAGAACTAGAGCGGAATAACATCAGGTTGTCCTGCTTATAAAAAAAAATCAATAGCAGTTCTGGTAAAAAAAAAAGTATTTTTGTTGGAATAAATGAATGGGAATAAACAGACGATGACGGACTGAGGGAATTAATTATGTAATGTTTTTTACATACTATGTCTATATATTTTGTGTACCTTATTTAGTGTTTAAATTTTTACACATAAATTTGTATTTTTTGTCTTTGTATGTATGTGTTATAAATCAAAACACTTGACTGTATTCTCTTGTAAATTACATTGAACATCTCTTACAAACCATGTGGCCTTCACACAAATGAAATGAGCTGGGCAGAGAGGTAGTGATAATGAGTCATGGTGAGGAGTTCATGATTATATAACAACACACTCACTGGTTAAAATTCCTGCCTGGCACTTTGTGGCTGTGCTGTTTGCTTTATGTGAAATTCAATTAGTCTGGTCCCTGAGGAGGACGCCTTGACAGGATGATAGACGGATGACCTGCTTCTTATTGCCAAAGTTTTCTCTTCATATTAAAACTTTTCCTAATACACCGTTTGTAGCTCCGTCGTAGACAACTCGTTCCCTCAAGGCAGCGTGTTCCTTTCACAAGACTCACACAGCGCCCAGAGAATGAAGCTCAGCCAACATTTTATTATCCATTCAGGCTTCCAACTGTAAAACTGTAATTCAGGATCAGTCAGGCCACTTCACCTCAGATTGACCTCCTCTGCCTCTGCGGTCAGTGCTTCATCACTGAGGCAGAGGTCAGCTGCAGGTCTCTGCCAAAGCCACAGGAACTGCACGTGTTGGTTTAAGACTGACCCGCAGGTGTGAGATCAGGATATCCATAGGAAGAGATATAAGGAAAGACGACACAGTGTATGCCATACAAACAGTCAGGTAGGATCAGTGTTTCTCACTCCCACCGCAAATTATCTTTTGAATCCCAAACTTTCAATCTGCTTATCCAATGGGGAAATATGACTGAGTATATTCATGGTTCATGGTGTAGAGTGCAGAATCGCTATCTTTTTAGCTTCAGCAGTTCCTGTCCCAGGAGCGCTACAGCCAGAGGGAAGGATCTAGAAAAAGAGAGGACTAGTCAGCACCTCCAAATCAAGGAGAGAATCAGCAGCAGCTGTTAACAACACAGACACACACACACCGCGCATGAACATCTTTTATTAAAATGAATAATACACTCGGAGTGTGAGGAGAACTTTCTAAAGAAGAGACGTCCAGTTTATGAAGGCATTTTGGCCAAAGAAAACACATTTTTCCACAAAAAATGGAGCGTCCCTATTGGAGGGATCAAGATGACAAGCTTATATTGAATCTTCCAGGACAAATGAGACGCCATTTAGAAAAACTGCTTCACAGCATGGGCTATTGCACAGAATAACAGAGTGAGAATGCGTGCACTATCGTTTCGTTGGGGCCTGTGGATCAGACGCTATTTGTCTCCATGATAACTAAACTATTTCCTTTGAAAAGTTACAGGATATATCGTATTTCTTATCTCACTCTGCCCCTTGCTGCAGCCACAGGTCGATGCAGCGGCATGTGAATATTCACAGCACGACTCCATATCATCTCATCACTTGGAAAAGAGCATCGGAACAGATCAAGAAAAACATGCAGATCTTATCTAGTAACCAGAACAGCCATTCATCAAAGTGGAACGCACTCATACAGTGGCCAAAATGGCTGCATGCCTCCACAATGATGCCCTGTGTGTGTGTCTATGTGTGTATGTGTGTGTGTGTTAAACCTATATAAACACAGAGGGTGAAATGAAGGCATAGCTCTGGGGTTTTAAATAAATATTGGCCGCGCCTAAAAGTGGCAGGCAGTCTGACGAGGACACACACATTCACACACACACACGTGCACACGTTACCATTGTCTCTAGTGCTGACACAGAGCAAGCTAACCAGCCACATAGTTGATGATAAAGCAGCCAGCACTCCAGTAGCAGCTCCATGGTGCTTATTAAGCCGTATCTGCTGGCGGCCATCTGCTGTGTTTGTAATATGAAGTGTTGCTGCACCACTGTGGCCAGCGGCTGCACTCGCAGAGGTTAGAAGTAGCCGCTGAAGCCACTCGAGGAAACTAAGAGTTTGGCAGGAGTTTTATGCTGGGCCGGGCTCCAGGGTGTAATAAAGTACCGTGAGTCATATCAGGGATCCAAGTCAGTGGGTCACAAACGAGTAAAGCTGCAACAATGCTGAGTTTATCATTGTCAGGAATGAACAATCACCGGATATAGGACTGTGAACACTAGAAAAGTTTTGAAGAAAAAATGTCTCTTGAGAGTTAAATGCTGAAATGTCTTGTTCCAAAATCATCATGTCTGACCTAGAGTGAATCATCTTAGCCCAGATGAGTGAGTTCAGAACAAACAAAACTGTGAACAACTGAAAAATGAACACTGCAATTTGACATCATGAGAAATAAAATCACTACAGGCAGCATCCACAGGTCATGTTTACTTCACCTTTAGATCTGAACAGAACTGACACTCCTCCAATAGGAAGAAGAAACATGAGAACTCCAGCATGGTTGTCTGCTCCACCTGTCTTTTTTATCTGCATGCTACATTTGAAAAGATTATATAGAATTTTTTTTACACTCTGGGGCATACACAATTCTTTGTTTTTCAGGGGATCAAATCAGTGCAGAGCTGCAAGGAGAGACAGAGAGAAAACCAAACACGGCTCCTTCATTTTTAAAAGCACCAGAGTCGAAGGCTTCGAAAATCATCTTGGAAGGAATAATGATAAATAATTGATTCTAATCCCCACATGTGCATGAAATTCCCCTGAAATCCACGTGAATGAATTATGCATTTTTAGATGACACGTGTCATCAAATATTCCCTTTTGCACATGTACATACTTGATGAAGCTCCGCACATCACCGATGTTGTCATTTTAAATATGTTACAAAATGCAGCGTTGGCTACATCCCTACTGCTAGATTTAGTACTGACTTAATGCTATATTTTGGCACCTTTAGGAGTGTCGGAGAGCAGAGCAGAGCAGAGCAGCTTTTACAAAGAATTATGACATCTGAAAATTTAGAAGTACTTTGTTGAAGCCTGGTGAAGTTCTTCAAGGTTGGGTCGTAGCTTTATACATAAAGAACATCTACGCCTGACTGGCCTGCAGAGCACAGATCCATATGTTTATAGAAAACATTGATGAACATGGAGGAGAGTCAGTCAACCAAAGTCTGCTGAGCAGAGTCTGCAAGAGTGGACGTCCACTCCACCAGTTCCAAATTAAAAGTGTTAGTGTTGAACACACACTGTAATGCAGTAATAACAGCAGTTCAGCCTATATTTCTTTTCTTCCCTCTCAGTTTCACTTCAACAAAACACTTACAGAAACTCCCCTGTCGACAACACCACAAATCTCAGCTTCTCATTTTATTTGTATTATTATTTTTCTGCTCTTTGTTGCACTGCATTGTTCCTGACAGGGCATTATATCAAGTAATAGGGTTATAATACAAAACTTTGAATGACAACAAAGATTCAATGACACAAAAGAGACGACATAAAACAGAAAAATACACATAAATAACACGCAAACATGCAGCAACTGTTATATTAGTGGAACCATAGAGACGAGCTGCACATAGTTGAAGCTCTGAGCTGCAGAAGCAGCCTGCAGTGACGCCTCAAGGTGTGTGTGTGTGTGTGTGTGTGTGTGTGAGAGAGAGAGAGAGAGAGTGTGTGTGTGTGTGTGTGCACTCTGAGCTGTAGAGCGCGTGTGTGTGTGGTTGCCCACACTGGTGTGCTGCAGTCCGCTCCCTACCGTAGTTCACTAAACTACACGGACATTAGCGGGCGCAGCGGCGCAACCACCGACCCCACAGTGGCTGAAAGCGCGCCTGTGGACGGAGCCAGTAAACGAGTGTGAAGCCCACCGAGAACATAAAGACCGGTGTTAATCTGCGACTCTTGGAGCAGTTTTGCAGCGGCGGAGCAGCAGCTGTGTGAAGAGTGTTCGTGCGGCAGACAGAGAGCTCTCGGCGGGAATGGCTTCATCTCCGTGCGGCAACACCAACTTTGATTCCGGTCTGGAAATCAAAACTCGCTCCGTGGAGCAGACTCTTATCCCCCTGGTTTCCCAGGTGAGTGCACGGCAATCCCAGTGGCGAGAAAAAAAATCACACAGCACGACTTTCTTTATTATTTGCCCTGTTTTGCATATAAAACGCACTTTTTTAGCTTCATAACAGCAGCGGTGCTGTGGGCCAACTTTGATGGTCGTGTTTACCTGCGAGTACAGACACGGTGTTTGTGTGTGCCACGTGTGGACACTGGAGTGTCTACATCGTCGTAACAACATTAAGACACAGTTATTACCAGTAAGTGTGACCGACTTCGGAGACGACCCCCCGGGCTGCAGCACGGTAACATGGGTCAACGAAACTTCAAACATGTGATGAAGCCACACAGATGTTGGTGTTGTTCTGCAGAAAGTTGTGGGTTACCTCACAATAAGAGTTCGCAAACACGGGACCCACATGTTCATCAGTTCGTATGTCTCCAGCCAAAATCCGGGTCCACTCAAGCGTCCCTTTAAAAAAAAAAAAAAAAAAAAAAAAACAGACAAAAAGGGTTCGTAATGACAAAAAAAGACGTGAGTAATAGCTGTTCATAAAATGTAATAATATTCGAATAGATAATTCGTAGTTAAACTTTTAAGCGTCAAAATGTAATATTAAAGAGGCCATGAAGACTCTACATTAGAAACGGATGGTGCTGCCTCTGCTGCAGGCAAACGTTGCAGAGTAAAGCACCAAGAAAACAGGTAGTTTTTGAATGTGTGGTGAAAGTAAATATTTTATTATCTATTATTGTGAGAGACCTAAGGTTTTAACATATAGTAATTGGTATTTCATTAGTGTCCGATTATACTACGCAGTTTGGTTTCAATCAAAAAAAAAAATCAAATTCTGCGTTTGGTTAACACAGGTACAGTATCTGCATATTTATGTCCTGACAAGTTTTGTTTCAACTTTCCAAAGATACTGTATGTTACTGACGTGACTTTTCAGATCAAGTGACTTCTTGACTTCACGTTTCTTTTGTAGGAACACCTTTCATATTTTCATCAAACTGAAAATAAAGTTGATTTAGAAATGGACCAATAGCCAAATGTTTTAGAAGATGAGGTCCAAACGGTACCAATCTTAACTTCCTGGTTAAGATTGGTACCTTTGTAAAGTACCAAACATGCACTGCTGCTGCGGGCTGTAAACATATAGAGTGAATCTGCTGCATTCTGCTTCAATCTTGGTAATATCTAGATTTCTAGTGTTCTCCTGTCTTCTGAGAGAAGCTGGCCCTGATCCAGCCTATACTGTCGTAGAATGAGCGGTATACTGTAATGGGATTCTGCATATTACAGTCCAGTCCACTGTTGAATAGTGGGCCTCAAGGACAATGTTTCCTAACTTTTTTTTTCCTTTTTTTTTCTGAGTGAGAAACTAGTCCCCATAGCAACAGAGCCCTGCAATGCTGAGAGAACAACATTTCCAAGGTCCGTTACCTCCATGAGGTTTTTGTCGTTGTGATGTCACCAAAAAGAAATGGTCAACTAGTCAGGGATAATCGCAGGTCACACTTGACTTCCTTTGGTCACGTGCACAGAGATGATATCAGCAACAAAGCGAACGTCCAGAGAGTTTAGACCGGATTTGCCAAAGTGACATAAAGGAATAAATGATAACTGGTTCAACAGTAATGACAATTTGTTAAATTATCCAAAGGAAAGGCTGAGATATACTTGCTGTTATTCCACACGTGTAACGGTGCTGATTTTACTGGATAAATGAACTAATCCGTGTTCATGGTGAGTCAAAAGAAACTAGTCAGTGTGTCGGTAGTGGTCAGTGGAACTGATGTTTAACCTGACTGTGGTTGCTGTCATTTCACTGTGAAAAAGATAACCCAGTTAAAGGGCTTTACATGCTGATTCTATAGATGAATATTTGGTTACGTGGTTCTAATTGAATTGTGACAACGTCACGGAGTCGACTGCAGTGAGCAGTGAGGCTGTCCTCACGAAGAACAGTCATGTTTTGTCTCTGTGTACACATGTTTATGTAGTGTAGATGTGTGTGATAGGAATCAAACAGGAAATGAAAAAGCAGTGTCACTGATGAAAGTGTGTCTTTGATAAAGTGTCATACACAACCTCCCCTTTGATAACGCCTCTCCTCCTCATATCTCCTTCCTTTTTTCCTTTCTTCTCCTCTTTTATCTCACCTCGCTTTCTCTTTTCTTCCACCCCTCCCCTCTCCTCTCGTCTTGTTTTTTCTCCTCATCATTCTATAATGTTGATAATGTTGATATCCTCAGGCCTTTGTTATCTGCTGCAGTCCCACCAGGGTGTAATTACAGGCCTGGAAGACTCCTTGTCCTTGCAACACACATAACACAAACACATAAACACACACATGCACACACAAAGATACATGCTCCTGGTTTTGTAAGGGCAGAATATGTATACCATAACTAGTTAGTGTCTGTCTTTAACCTTAAATCATTTTAGTTAAAAATTATTATGTTTCGCCATAAATTGTCTTAAACAGGTAATTAAAATTTGGCAATTTGCTCACACAGGCACACACACACACACACACACAGTTTGTTAATGACTTCTTCCTGGATAACCAGTGTTCTGTTTTAACCCAAATAACAGGCCTCTTACTGCCATTCTTTCCCATTAATGGCTTTGTAGCAGAATAAGCCTAAAAATAATAATTACGTACTGTAGTGGAGCACAGATAAATCAAGTATTTTTAAGGGAAGATGAACCAGACACAGGAAGGGTCACTTGGGTCTTGGGTTTTTACCACAAAGCCTTGAGCCAGAACCAAAGACCTGCAGACTAATAACCCCTCCACAGAATGGTGATTACACACAAGCCCGATCATCTAACGCTTGGTTATTTTTTTAAGGGCTTAGACAGGTCCATTGAAAAGTGGGAATTAGGATTCACTGAGAAACCCATTTATTTTTATATATTTTTGTTCCTGCAAATATTCATTATGTCACCGTATATTTGATGCAGTCACATGAAGACGAACGCCTGGTGTGCCAAGTTGTACTGTGAGAGCTGTGGGAATTATTCTGGTTCACTCGAGATGAATAGTGATAGCAGGTCTGAATGGGACGTAATGTGGGCACCTAAAATTGTTTTCATCACTTTCCTACATTCAAAGATAGAAGGGCCCCCAATCCTACGATTGGTGATTTTCCTGAGACTGGAACTCTCTGTTGTGTGCTTTATTTCATGGCTTCTTCACACCACCATGCATACAAATGGACGTGCATTGTAAGAGCTCGTAGCAAGTGTAATGAATTGCTCCGTGGTGGTCAGAAATGTAATGGGCATCACACTGAGAGGCGGGAAGCATGTCTGCCGTTGTGAGGTCCTACCTGTGATGTGGTCTGCAGCCAGCTGCAGGGCAATTAGCAGTGATCTGCTGCTTTAATGTTGATATTCAATTTCTCTTCTGACGCAGTGATTAGTGAAAAAACAGTTCCCTCCTTCAGTTTTTAATCAGAGGTGTATTTTCCTAGTAAAGTGCAGCAGTCTTGCCTCTACAGACGTGGTGGTCCTTCGGCTGTTGTGTATTTTTTTTTTTAAGTAGAAATATGTGGGAGTGAATAAGGGGATACGGAGTAAAATCTGATACTTTCATCACGCTTGGGAACACATCACTTGTGACACACTGGTCTTGTGATCCTGTTTCCTGCTCAGTCATGTTTTTTTTCAGCAGTGGCCAAAGCAGAAGTTTCTTTAAAGATTTTCTATAATCTAGCTATAATTGGAATAAGAAAATCCGTCTGTGTCAGAGTTAGTAAGTGTTACTGTTGTTAGATGCCAGGTTTTTTTTTTTTTTTTGCATTGCGTTCTTAAGCATAATAATAAAAAAAAATCGGGGGGGTGTTGGGTGGCTGAAAAAGGCTTTTCTTTGTGAATTTTAATCCAAAACAGAATAAAAAGTTATATTTATCACCAATTCAGAGCTGAAATACTGCTTTGCGGATGTGATTTACCTGAAGCATTTGCATTCTGTCACATAAATTCCACATTAAATGAATTTCTGACAAAAGATGACTCCATAAACGCACTCCTTACTTAACAGCTCTGTAAGCAGCGCCATCAGTCACATTTTTGTCCCTATTTCCAAGTAAAATTGGAAATCGACTTTTATTGAGATACAAGGCTCTATTTCCTCCTTAATGTTCAGAGTCCTGTGCTGCCATGACATGAAAAATGTCCAGGTAGTGAAGTTGTTTTTTTTTTAATGTACAGACAGAGAGGCAGTGCTGTTTCCATGAGCCTGAACAAATCTGCTTCCTTCAGCTGTAAGATGATAATGAAGACAAATCGTTCTCTGACATCGGGGTGAAGCCACGTGAGGATTACGCCGTTTCACAAACAGGCATCTGAACAACCTCAGCCCAGAATATGTTCACCTCCTCAGACTGAGACTAATAAAGCCCATTGTAGAGTGGGCTTGAGGGAGAGGGATTTTATGGTGTTTTGTGTGCCGTACTATAAACATTTTTGGATATGTGGTTTGTGTAAAACACAGACAAATCAGTGTTAAATGTGGAGGTGGGTGTTGATGATATAAATAAACAGGGATTTGGCTGACATGAAAGATATTATTTATACAAGCCATGGTAGTGCTTAGTAATGACGCCGTGACCTGCATTAAAACCACAAAGCATTATGTTAGCAGGGAGGAGTGCATGAACCAGGCTTTGCCTTAGAGAAAGAGACTTCTATTATATGGTCTTATTTGGAATCCAATTACAGTTGTTGAATTGGCGGCAGAAAAACACAAGCTGTAAAATTAGGTGAATCTTTGAAGCACCCTAAGATTGGGAAGGCTTAAGAAGGCTTCCTCTTCCTGTGCCTGGACACTGGTGTGGCAGTGTCCAGGCACAGGAAGAGGAAACCATGAAGCAGCACATTAATGACCCAGCACCTTCTGAAGATGATGACATTGACATTACAAATGCAATAACTGTAAGAATGCCAGTTAATTAACGCACATCTGGAGCCTTACGTTGCCATACAATAAAGAGAGGAGTCAACAAATAG